ATTGTTTAAGAAAACATCTGATCTCAAGCGATAGTGGGTTCCACAAGATCCAAATTGATCACTTATTGAAAAGGAAAGCGAGAGAAGAAAGTAATTCCATGAGAAAGTTGCGTGACACAACAGATGACTGGCAATGGATAGTACATGGAGACAACGTAAAATGAGATTAACCGGCAAAAAGAAACCAATACTGGAACTTGAAAGGAGATGAACATGGGATTTAAAGAAATAGAAAGTGTAGAATTGGAAAATAGAGTAGATAGGGAAGGAGTGGACAAAAAAATAGAAAGTGTTGAGAGAAAGTCCAACTTCAGCCGCAGAAGTACACGAGAACATGAACGGTGGGAAATCCTGCAGAGTAAGAAACTACGTAAGGAATGTAAGAGAGAAAGCAGTATAGGCAGAAGAAAATACCAAATAGCAAACAGGGAAGCAAAACAGGCAATAGAATAAGCAACGATGAAACAGAAAAGGAGCTATAGGAAAGAGGAGAGAAGAAAATTTGTGAAGCAGTGAAAGCTAGACAGACGAAGAGACAGGATTTGGGAAAGACAGGAGTAGCAAAGGATACAAACAGAAGACCTGCAAGACGAAGCACCTAAGGAGCAGATGGAAGGAGTAATTCAACATCTTGCTGAATAAAACGTTCGGACCAATAAATCCAGAGAATATCTGGAGAATATCCAGAGATGAGATTACAAGGCGATAAGTAAAGTCATTTTAGGAGAAGCGGCACGGGGGGAAAGGGAGAAGGGCGGGTTATAGAAACAGCACAAGAAATAGTGGAAGAGATGAAAATTCCTGAGGATTGGAAGAAAGGGGAACTAATAACTATATGCAAAAATAAGGGAAACGTACTCATTTGAAAACCAGAGGGGAATGAAGCTAACAAAGCATTTGGTGAAAGTGGGAGAGCGGGTATTAGACACGGGATTAAGAGATGAAGTCAAAATAAGTAATAGTTTTGGGTTTATGAAGGAAAGTGCACAAGAAATGCCTTATAAATTGAAAGGCAGAAAAAAAAAAAGAAAAAAAAGGATTGAAGGCAAATGGAAAAATGTGTTATGCGTTTGTTGGCCTAGAAAAGACGTATGGCGCGGGTACCCAGAGTACTGGGCCTAAAAGAAAAAAAAAAGTATGTGAACGACTAATAGACCTAGTAAAAGAAGTGTATAGGGGCAGTACGACCAGAGTAGTACCTTGCAAGGAAAATCGCAGCAATTCGAAACAGGAGTGGGACTACACCAGGGATTGACATCAAGTCCATTTTATTGGTAATAATAAATGTATCAACACATCATATAGCTACAGAAGGGGTATGTGAGTTGCTTTATGCAGATGACTTAGTCATAATGGTAAAATTGAAGATCTACAGAAAAAGCTCGTTGAAGTTTGAAAACTCAGGAAAGACAGAATTAATGGTTAGTGCAAAGTAGGGATGAGTTGAATCATTAGACGTTAAAGACTCACACGGCAATACCATGAAACAAGTAGAAAGGTTTAAATATCTGGGAGACATGATTGCTAAGGGGGGAGGGACATGTTCGTGAGAGAATAAAGAAAGGCTGGGCAAAACGGAGGGAGGTTAGCTGTATCATTATGAAGAAAATGATACCAGCAAGACAAAACTGAAAACTAAGCAACAAATAGTAAGACTAGTAATAATGTATGGCGCAGACACATGGGCTTTGAGGAAAAGAGAACAACAGATAGACAGAACCGAACTAAGGATGCTGAGATGGATGTTAGGGATTTCAGTGAGAGATAGGAAAAGAAAGGAAGTTAGAACTGAAGCAAGTACAGTCAGAATAAAATCAGATAAGAAAAAATAAGACGGTTGGGCCATATATTAAGAGATGAAGACTCCATCTAGATAGCATACCAACACCCGGTAGGAGGAAGATCAGTTGGAAGACAAAGGAGCAGATGGAAAGAAAATGAGCATGAAGACCTAGGAATGCTAAACTTAAAAGAGGAGGATGCACAGGATAGACCAACTCGGGGGCAGCGTATTCGAATGGCCGACCTCCCTAGGGATTAAGGCAATGGGGAAGAAAAAGCAAAAGGATGTGAAACTTCATTAGGAGGATTGAAAGGTTTGACAGCCTCGTCTGAAGAAAGAACATTAGTTGGTTTGACGAACTGCACGGGTGCTGACCTTGCTGGAAGTCTTGGATGAGCTCCGTGGTGTATTCGTACCTGTTTTCTTGTCCAAAAAGGAACCATGGAACGTACTTTGTTCTGACCACCTTGGCATCCCAGTCGTAGTATTGCTGCAGAAGAGTGGAGAAAAGCATATTTCGAAAAATATGATAAATTGTGAGAAAAGATGATAGCAAATATGGCACCGAAAGCAGCGGCCGCAACACTATTTACTTGTAACCGGAGGATTAGTAAATCCAGTTGCAACCAGATTGATGAGCGTATAACAGACAAAAACAGAAATTCTATGCATACTAAATTTCTGTGAAGAAATAGCAAGATCAAAGGTACTGATAAA